TAGGACTTAAAAAAACTGTAGAAACTGTTAAAATAATTTCAATATGTTTTTCTTTTGAATTAAAAAAATTTAAAAACAACTAGTTAAATTAAAAAAATATAATTGTTTTTTTCGTTTTGTATAATAAAACTATATATTTACGTTTATAATTTTACTTATTTATAATATCATTTAAAAAAACTTAAAAAGAGAAAAAATAAATAGTTAAATTTAAATTTATTTGACAAATTTTTTATTTATAAATACATAATTTAATTAAACATTATATATAATGCCAGATCAAAACCCCAGATAGGCTGGGTGTCAGATCACCAAGGGCAGTCATTTTCTATGCTAAAGATTAACATCGCTGATAATTTTTTTTTTCCATTTTATTTTAACTAATTTAAAAATTTGTCCGTATAAATGTATATAAACAAACCTCCTACGCATATCCCAATATTACGGATCAAAGCTGAAGACAAGGAGACATAGCCACACCGCCCAGTACTTGGCTGCATGTGCCGGGCCCCAACTCCGCTGACCCCTCACTTCTATCCTTCAAAAAGATCACTTTCTCAGCTACTGCCCACATACGACTCCTATCGTGTCATTTCAGCGACAAAACCAAATTGTTTTGTTATTTTGACCGCCATCTCGTATTAATGCGATATATATTGTATAGTTATTTAGTATGTATCATGACAGATAAACTTGTGGGGCCTGCATAAGGAACTCAGTCTTAGTGGTCTAAAGGGGGCGACACTCGTCATAGAAGAGCTTGTCACTTGTCAGACAAGATCAATTGGTGTCACTCGTCTAGGCCTGTAGAAAACTTGCCCCGCCCTGGACAATTCATTGGCTCTGAATCAAGTTAACAGCTTGACATCCGCTAGATGACCTTATCGCATTATTAGCTACTCGTTCTCTCTAAGATTGATCACCCCTACATCCAAGCTCAATTATAAGAAAGCGCTTACCTAGGGTTCCCAACTCACCCTATCCCTCACGATGACTTAAGATTCATCATAAATATCTAATGACTTCCAGTCGATATCATGTGATCGAGTTCGACTTGCTTTGCACCAGCTCGTAGACTCGCTCGACACTACACTATGGAGCTCACTCTCTTTTGAATTCCCCCAATGCACAATTAACACCACCTCACTCACCTAGAAAGAGATCCTCAGCCCCAACTATCTCTCACTCAATTAGGGGACACATGCATAGAAGTGGTATAGCATCTTATATGTGGACTATTTAGCATTATACCTTTTTTTTAATTTTTTTATTTATGCTATCTTTCTTGTAAATCTCATGACGCTATAAATTCGTGTCATAAGGAATAGATGAGGAGGATTTTTTCCATTTAAATAGTAGGAACTTTTTCTGCTTAAAAGCTCATTTTCTAATTCTTTTTCTTACCCTCCATTCTCGCTCAGGTTCCTACTTGCTTTTTTACTTAGTCGTCCTACCAATAAGGTCATGTGTCATCCACAAATAAATTTAAATTCAATATTAATATAGAATATTACACGAGAGAATTTTAGCTAGGAAAATAAATAATAGTCAAACTTTTAATATAGTCCTAATGACTCATTTAATGGGCAACCAGTCTTAATCGTCAGTGAGATATAATTATATTACTGAGCAAATATAATTATTATTTTAATTTTAGATTTATTTTCTTGTGAGATGTAAAAATTAAGATAAATTTTAATATATGTAAAAAAAAGATTTTTTTTTTAAAGTTAAGTAATTAAATATGCATAAACTGTTAAAATTTTAATATAGGCTATGCCACATAAAATATTCTTTTTTTTAATATTATTAAAATTTGCATGAATCTTTTTATGTGCATTATGATAATTGATTTGCGACTATGGGAGCGGGAGCGCGATTGCGGGAGCGAGACAGCGAGCGGGAGTGAGATTTGCCAGAGCAGGAAAGGAATTCGCGATCGACAAGCCGCTTTACTCGACTCATTTAGTGAGACGAGTCGAGCTCAAGCTCGAGCTCGGTACTTGGCATTCGAGCTCGACTCGAACACCCCCTGGCTCGAACTCGAACTCGACTCGTTTGCACCCCTACTCTATATTATGATATTTTGACTTATTTTTTTATTTCCTCTAAAAAATTTATGAAAATATCCTGACCCAAAAGGCTTTTAGGTGTGTTTTATTAGTTTTAAAATTCTTAAATTTACATCAAAACAATTATTATATATAATTTTTAAACTATGTTAAGATATCTCGTCATTATTTTTTTAAACAAATCCGTGCAATCATTCCTTGACCTTTTTAAAAGGAATCCAAACCCGGAACGAAACGGCCGACATTACAACACGTTTTTTTTCCTTCCACGCTGTGTAGCTTGATATACGTGGGCGAAGGTAATGGCAGAAGTGCCGGCATTCCTGCTCTTGGGCTCGCTCACAGTGCTGCACATTTTTCTAGGAGAAGGCTTCGGAGATTATCAATCGAACCCTTTAAAATTGGATCGCAGCTGCGTTTTGGAGCAAGGATTTGGTCCAAAACCGCCTTCTTTCTCTCTAACGCGCTCTTTCTCTCCTTCATCACCTTCGTTTACGTTGCTTGTGATCAGGCCACCAGATTCTTGAATGAGCTAGGGTTTTGTCATTTTATGCTTTGGTCAGATTGTTCGGAATCAGTTTCTTTTTGTTGATGGTCATCTAAGGATCCCAAGGAACGAGGAGTAGGTACTCTCTGATTTTTCTTAGGTGATGGATTTGATCTTTTAGCTCATATGCCATTATATGTTAATTGAGTTTTATTTATTGATTGTGGAGCTGGTTCTATCTGTTCTGTCGTTCTATTTGATTTGAGATGAATAGCATTTTGAGTGATCCGAAATCTATCATATGTGATCCACTTGAATATTTCGTTTGCTAAGCAATTTCAATTTCTTTGAGACTTTTCAACGCAATGAGCAGCATAACAAGAACTGTTGGTGTGTAGAACCGCAGTGTGTGGTGAGTAGAGAACCTTTGTTTCTTTTCTTTTCTTCTATTTGAATTGCTGTGTTGAATTTAGCAGGATTAATTTCCTATATGTGGAGCCAAAGCATTTTTGTTTTAAGAATTTGGCGCCTATTTATCAATCAATTTACATTAATTTGATTGCCGAACTAGATTTTGCGCTCTTCTCAGTTACCGTGACAGACAATAAATGCCCTGTTTGGAGGACAGCTACAGTTATGATTTTAAGTTTATCTTAGCTGCTTAGCTCGACTTATATACGGTTTTAACTAATTAATTAATTTTTTAGAGTTCAGGTTGTTTGTATCTTTGGAAATTTATCCTGCAAAGGCCTTCACAGCGCTCTAAGTCGTTTTGGCTGCACAGAGCCTTATTAATTCATGTTGAATCGCTTGCTGATTTCTTGCTTGAATAAAGTATTTATGTGCTATTTTGTTTTTGGATAACTTACACGAAGGAAACTAGTTAAGTTTGGCAGCTTTCTTCTAAGTGATTTTTTCATTGCTATTATTTTTAGTTGTTTGTATCTTTTGAACTTGTTTTCCTTTATTTTTTTTTTTGGGCCCGAGGCTCTTAACTTCCTATTTGCTCCAATAAGTTCAGCTTTTTTAACACTAACTTGAGCTTTGGTGCATGTGCTGCATTCTGCAATACTCCCTAGTTCTTCTGCTATGATGGCCTCAGCCTAGTGGTATGCTTGAGAAATGTATAATTTTGAGCTTTTATTTCCTAGGAAAGTACGTCATATGTACAGAAGGCTCATTTTGATAATGCCTTTGAACTGCATCACATTTTTCAGTCTCTGTGTTGTACGTTGTGGAGCTTAATTTTTTGCCCCAAGAAGGAAACATGCTAAAAATTATTTAATATTTGGGAGTTATTTCATTAAACGGATAATTTTATTATATGATTTGTTGTTTTATTTATTTATTTTTAAAAAGAGGGACATTATCTTTATGTTGGATTTTTGGAACTAAGGCTGTAAAACTCCCCAATCAAACCATAGTGAAATTTGTAGTTACAATTATAGGGTCTAGCTACAATTGAGTGAAGTTGCATAAAATTCTTGTTGTGTTTTGTGTGTTAATTTTCTTTTTTGTTTTCTATTGTGTGATTGAATTAAGTTTCACCTCTATCCAATACTTTGCTAAACGTACATTTTTGGGCTACTTGTTCACAAAAAGAAATTTGTGTCTGGTTCTTCTAAATGATGCAATCAAACCACTCTTTTCTTTTGAATTGGAAATATAGTACTTTTTTTGCACAAAAATCGATTGCTAATTGCTTTGTAAATAATTTAAATTTCCAAAGCTTGCTTATTTTTCTCATATTCCATTGAATGTTTTGTTGGTCTCAGTTTCACAACTCCAAAAATCGAAGATGGTAAACTTTGGGAAAAGGCTAATGGCTGACCAAATGCCAGAATGGGAAAGGTATGTTCCTTCATTATTTAATTTGAAAGTTCGCTTAGCTTTTGTACTTGTTTCTTTGTGCATTTCTTTTATGCGGGAAGTTGAACGTTGTGCATTCCATTAAACACTTGAAATGTTTGGCCTTTGAGGTACGCAATGTGGTTTAAGTTTATTACATTGTCTTTTGGTAGAATAAACTGCATTGTTTTTCTTAGTAATTTTTTTTCTCTTTTTCCCTGCCTTTCCTTTTTAAATTTTACAAAGTTAGGAAAAATTTAAAATTGGGCCAAAAAAAAAAAAAGAACTGATGGTTGTAATATAAATAGGTTTTCTTCTATGTCCTTTGAATATCAAACATGGCTACCTGTTTATGCTTGTGAAATGGCCAAGTGATGATATAATCTATAAGAGCAAAGTTGCACCGATATGGATACGGAGACACGGATACGGGACACGCCAATTCTTAAAAATGCAGGATACGAGTACGACGCGGATATGACTATAAAACATAAAATTAAGAAAGCAATCAAAGCATAATATTTGAAATTACAAAAAAAATGAAAGCAACATCATTTGTAGCATTGTAACTCATAATATCAAAATAAAAGTAAGCATTAAATATCTAGTACAACAACAAAAGCATAAACATAAATTGTTTAGCACATGAAATTTCAACTATTCAATAGAAGGAATGATATGATTAGCTTCTTCAGTGGTTTGTCTTTTAACTTCTATATCATCTTCAATAAATATTACAGCTTCTAATTCAGACTCATCAAGTGAATGATTAGCAATTTATAATATTCTCATGTCATCAAGAGACTCAAATCCATCTCGGAAATGAGAGAACCTCGCACGCAGTCGCGGAAGTAAATAGCATTGTTTTCTAATTTTTTTTTTCAATGGACATGCATATCCGATACGAGTGTCCTTTTGAAATTAAATAATATTTTAATTGGATATGGCAAAAGGAGTATTCGACACGTATCGGTGCTGTATCAGAGGCGTATCCGTGTATCGGTGTATCAGATACATCACGCCTTCATAAATAGGTGTATCAGTGCAACATAGGAGCAAACTCAACTGCAGATTCAATTTGGCTTCCAAAATGGAAGTTTCAGTTCCACCAATTTTAACATTTCAATGTTCAATGTTATTGTGGGCTTTGAAAATTCACGCCCTGGCTTCTCCACAGACCCGTTTCTTTCTTCTTTCGGGTCGTCAAAGAGAGTTTTTATGAGTAAGTTTTGAGACAAAATTTCAGAAGGCAGATTGTGCTTGTATATAAGTCACTACCCAGAGATTTTGCCCTTATTTTGCGAAAACTTTATGATCTGAGTTCAAGTTTCATATAAGCGCAAGCCCCTATAGTTAATTACCCCCCCCCGATGGTAAGAGAGAGCTTTCGATTAAGGCTAGTCATCAAACATATACTTAGTATCCGACGTATAGTAGCAACAGTATTTAGGAATTTAAAAATTTAATATCTAAAATTGAAAATTTTACCACCTTGCACTTAAAGCGGATGGTGGGGAGAGTGATGACCAGATCAAAATCCCATGGTTCCATCATCCCGAGTTATCATGGTTCCTAGTCTACTTAGTCAAAGGAGATAGTCGACCTAACCTGACAGAAGGATCCTTATCAATAGGCATGGGTTACTTCGTCCAAGAGTACCTTGTAGACTCGAAGTAAATATTTGTCTAAGAGGACAAATTTAAAGTCACCATAGCAAACATAGGGCTTTGTACCCTATCGATCATATCATATTGATTTATATCTCAAAGATTTGAAGCCATTGGGGAACATGAAGGTTCTGACCATGACCGTAATTTAGTGGTACCATTTGACAGCAAAAACACCCGTTTCAGAGAGTCCCGGTTATAACTGTTTACATGTTGGGTCATTTGGCGATGAAACCACTGGTTAGAGAGCACGTGCCATGTCCTTACAGGCAAAAAATTATTTGAGAATGAATTTTAATGATATTCTCGACCAAACATTGGCTCTTTGTGCTTGAAGACATTGGCTCTTTGTAAGCATTTGATGATTTATTTCATTTTTAAATATATTGATTTCAGTTGATTTTGGGATTTTGGATTTTCACATGCAAACCGCTCTCTGTCTAAATCACATATGATTTGTCCTCCAAACATATGATTTGGTAAGCATTTGATGATTTATTTCATTTGGATTTCACTAACATCTCTACATGCAAAAGTTTCTTTTGTTGTGTCATCACATAGATCTTGAAAGGATTTGTAAGCACCTGATGGATCGAAGCCTTTTTCACCATCGAGATAGATGTATCTATGGCTCGACCGAATTTCATAGCCCAGATTCGTCAGAATAAAGCAGGCACTAATCTTGGCCTTATAACCAGCTGAAACGGTCCTGGTGACACCTTTGGCCGAGCATGCAGAAAACCACACACAGGTCTTTGACTGTTTTGCTCGATCCGCCTATGAAAAACATGCTCAAAACAACGGCTGTAGACCGTTTGATCGGATGAAGCGCGCATAACGACAGCTATAAACCGCTCTCTATCTTGCTTGATCCACCCTCTGTTTCGTCACTGCTCCAGAAGCATGAGAAACTATAAAATATCCTTTTAGTCCTATATTTCTTCCAATCGTACACAAGAGCAACCCGTCTTTGTTCCACTCTCCCAGGCACGCGCAAGGGACATTATTCGTCTTCTTTTGATCGAACGCACGCTTGAATCATGCATGGTCTCCTCTACATGATGGAATCACCCACGATTTCCTTTGCATGTTGGAATCATGCATGGGCAAGTAATCTTTGTTTCCTCAGTCTCCCGTATGAATTCTAACACACTAAGCACATGCCCAGCACTCCGCTCACGCTTGTTTGAGGCCCAAAATCCGCACCTCCACATGATATTACGTGATTACTAACCCAACCGCGGCCCTCCTTCCATGATCTACACATACGTGGTCCAAATGCTCCCGCGCAACCTTCGTGCCTGCGACCCAGATGCTTCTGCATGGCCTTCATGCCTGCATCGCATGTGCCTTTCGTCTACAAGTTTGAGTTGCACGGGACCTCCTATGCTTCCGCCCGGGACCTCCTGTATTTCACACGTAGCCCGTGTCTGCCTCCGTTTGCGTACGCGATCCTGTTGTCCGTGCACCTAGTGTTACCCGCAACTCACATTATGCATCTTGCTCACACAACCCACATGCGGCCCCGACTTCATGGGCCTCCGTGCGCAACCACGCAACTGCTTGTCTCAGCTCGAATTGGTCCAACCACACATGTTGAAAGCTCGCTTGACGGGAGAAGAATGAACTGGAATAGGAAGAATTGGAGATCTCCAAATTACATCGAAAATCGCAACAAAATCCGGCTCTAATATCAATTGTTGCAAAAAATAATACAAAACAAACAACCAAACACATTGAACATGATGTGGTTTACGTGGTTTAGAGAAGAATTGTCTACGTCTACAGGGAGGGGATTCATTATTTTGGAGAAATAGAGTTACAATTGCACTCTTTCTCACTCATACAACAACCCTAAAGCCTTTATTTATAGGTTTGAAACAAATCAAATAAGGAAAACAAATCAATGCATTATTATATATGTGTCAAAATAGGTTTTTGGGGCAGGTTCAGGTAGAACCCGGAATTGATCTGGGTTCAAATGGGTTAACCTGAACTCGATCCGATTTTATAAATGGGTCAGAAATTCAGACATGGACTTTACCCGCTGAGTTACAGGGCAACCCCCTACCCGAAAATCTGGAATATAGCCAGCGCGAAGAGTTCAAGCATGAGTGGGTGCTGGTCGTGGCATAGGAGCGGGCCTGCGCAAGGTGAGGGCGAGCACAGCCTAGAGGGGTGCAGACGTGGGTCCGGGTGCGGAGTCTAGATGCGAGCGTGATAGGCTCTCTGCAGTGCGGACTGCAGAGCGATGCAGGAGGGCGTGAGCGCAATTTCTGTGTAGTGCAGGTTTTAGTGCCTAGTCGAGACATGAGCGCGGATTCGCGCTACAGACGAGGTTTCCGAGTCAACTCGGGTTGATTTCGAGTTTTTGGGTGAACTTAAATTTGGCCCGATTTTATTAATGGGTCGGAAAATGAAATCCAAAGTCGACCCATCTCGTGAACGGGTTGACTCAAACCCAAAATTTTTTTGGTTGGATTCGGGTCGTGTTTTAGGTCAGGTCAAATATTGACACCCCTAATTAGTTATGTAAATCTAATCAATTAGATCTCCTAATCAATGCTCTCCTAATCAAAACCAATAAAAGTTTTCCAAAATAAGGCTGAATTGGATATGGAAGGATTTCCATAACATTGATTTCATAGCTGTGTCGCCAATTTCAACATGAGAGATTTGAATCCTTTCGTGTATCATCTTCTCCTCGAAGTCCGCATTGGCGGGAGCTTTGTGCATTAGCTACGCCTTTTTATTTTACATTTGAAACAGTTTAGTAGCTATATTATACCATGAACTAGAGATATAATTATTAAACCATGTAGTTTTTTTCCTATCCAACTCAAGCTGGTTACTCAATTGTTCCAAACAGCAAGTCAGCATTATAGTTAGCTTTATAAATCCTTATTTATCATTCCTTCCTGCTGATTTCTTCGTGAGGTGCAACTCTAATTTATAGAAGTGAGGTGTCAATTCTGATACATTAGTTAAAAAAGAAAAAAGAAAGAAAAATAGATGCCCCTTGATCACATCTCTTACATTGCAGATATGTTCTAAACCTTGTCTCTCATATGTCAATGATTTTGGCGGCACCTTGACATATACCATTGTGATTCTTATACTTCTATCCAATTAATTTTTTTTTCATCTGGATATGATATGTTTTACTTTTATGAAATGATGCACTATCAATTACTGCGATATTTTGTATATTTTTATTCTTTGTTCCATCAAAAGCCTAATTTCCATGCAATTTGGGTCTTAAACTCATTTTTATTGCTTCAATTTTTTTCCTTACTATAAAGTACTTGCTACTATTATGGATTCATTGTTTTTTCATTCTTCTAGATACTATATTAATTACAAGCTAATGAAGAAAAGAGTCAAACAATACGTTCAACAATCTCAGCAAGGTGGAAACGATAAAAGGCAAGTCCTGAAAGAGTTCTCAAGAGTGCTTGATGATCAGGTAGGGATACAAGTTTGTTGCCACTAGTTTTAATATTCAATCAAGCTTTCATGGTAGTAAACACATCCATTATGAGAAGCACGTATTAATGTAGTAATTATTGTCCCATTTATTTGCCTTGTTTATGCGTTTGAATTTACCACATTTTATTAATTTAATATTTTGGCTTAGGAAAATGCTTTTTTTTTAAATAATACATATTTGGTGAGTGGAATTCATTAATTTGATGTATTCCCTATTATAAATATAAGAGTTGTCTATTTTATGATACACAAAATAATATTATTCTCCATTAACATGATATAAGAGTTAGGCTGATACTAGCCATAGCCTCCATCTCCCCCTCTTCTTGGTCATGATGCAATCTTTCCAAAACATCCCTGTCCATGCCTACTCCTCTTTGATGCCAGCCATGTGCAGCCTTCATCTCTTGACAAACTCAATCATTTTGACTCCCACCCTTCTGAACTGATAGATATTGCCAAATATAGTAGATGTCTAGCTTTTAATCATGTAGTTCTTATGTGGTTGCTTAACAACCTTGAACCTACTATTGCATCCATTGATATATTCCAGGGAGCTGATCAAGGGATGTGGGACTTCTCAGCTCTACTTACTTTTATGATGACAAGATCTCTTGGATATACACTATTTATTTTGAAGTATTCTCTTTGCTATGGGATGACAAATCTGTTTAGGAGTACTAAAACAAGTTCATAGAAAAATGGGATAGACTTCTTCAATTTTAACCATCTTGCTAATCAAACTACTTGAAAAAAATAGAATGAAGACTTTCTCATTATCAAGTTCCTTCCATCCCTACTATATATTCAAGCTCAATTAATTTTAGGTCCTATTGTCTCATATATCTCCATTGCTGATGCAGGACTACTTAGTTGACATGCTTATGGCTTCATTTTAGGCATTGCACAACTTTTTGATTAGAATAATTTTGGATTAAAATTATTAGCAATTCTCAACGTCGACTAAAACAAATAAAGAGATGCTTTGCGTAGGTTAATCACATGCTCCAAGCTTTGAAATCTTCAAGATAAATAAGACAATTGAAACAATGCAAAATAGTAGTCTTCAATTTAATCCCTAGTCTAACAATGAGATTTAGGATGCAAAGAAAGTACACTCAATAACCTACGAATTACTAAGCTTAGCAAGAACTCGTGGAGGAGACTTTCGCGATTACAATCTAACCAATTGAGAACTTAGATTTAGAAGAATTTGAGTGCAAGTAAAAAGGAAAACCTTGGTTTAAGGAGACGCGGGGATCCTCCACTCGATGCCGTACTCAGTCTCCGGATCCGCCATCCATACGAGAAACCGCTGTTTTGACTTGTATGACAAGGAGATACTTTTTCAATGGTGCTGTAGTGAAAATAGTCCAGCGGAAACTGCTGGACAGCAGTTTGATTTGGTAAAGCAGCAGCTTGGAAGCTTCAAGTTGCTGGAAGAACAACGATAGCTGCTGGAATTCTCTGGCTGAGACCTTAGAAGGCAGAATACTCAATGTCCAATGGAGTTTGGAGAGAGATCTGTGGAGGGAAGTTAGCACACGGGTCAGGGAAGGTTTCGGCCAGCAGGAGAAAGTGAAAGATGGGTTCAATTCCAAATTAGTATAAGGGAAATTTGGAAAGATTATAGACGTGGGGGCTGAGGAGAAACTCAGCCAATAGAGGTGGAGGATATTGATTTTTTTCCAAGAGAACAACAAGCAATATGGCAAGAATTCCTGGAGGCCGGCAATAATGGGAGAGGTATTCAAATTAATTCCCAATTGAATGGGCTTTCTTTGGGAATTAATTAAGCAGTAAATTATTCAGAGACGGCTAAGAGATGTAGCTGAAATTTGAAAAAAAAAAATTTCCAATTGAAGCTAAACAGGAATTAGGAAATAAATCCTAAGCCTTCTCTATAGGGGCCGGTGGCAATGATGGTTCAGTGGACCTTAGTGAATAAAGTTTAAGAGCTTCCTAATTTGGATTTAAAATTAAGGAAAGAACTAATTAAATCCAATTTGAATTAAAATTCAAATAGGCTTAATGTTGGTAACTTTCCAAAAATAGATTTTGGGTAGATTTGGAAATATTTCAAAATCAAACTAAAGGAGTTTGAATTTTAAAATCTGTCTCAAAATAGGTTCATCCAAATTAGGCAATGGAACTCCATAGGGGAGGGGGGGTGGAGAGGAACGGCGGCTAGGTGGTGGTAGCCGGCGGCAATGGGGTTCGGGATGGGGTTTTGGCCGTGGGGTGAAGGAGAAGGGGAGGGGATTTTGCGTGGACTAGAATCCGGCGGCTAAGTGAGGGTGGGAAGGAGGAGATAGATACGAAGGACGAGAAGAAAACACGATAACGAAAGAAACCACGAACCCGACTTATCTAGGTTGATGGGTATTGCGCGAATCTCCTTCCTCTCCTAGGAAGCTCTCTCCATTAGAACCCTCAAGCTCTCTCAAGAACTCCAAACAAGAAGACAAAATTCTCAAATAATCATTCTTTCATTAACCTCAAATAGAACAAAGGGGGGCTTTAAATAGCCTCATACAAATAACTCAAACAAAATGGCACAAATGCCCTTTGGGCTTACACATGACAACTCCCATAAGAGGGGTACAATCGGAAATAATAAAACACACATAAGAAAATAACAAAATGCAAGAAAATAAAATACATCGATGACTCAAAAATATAAAGACTCGATCGTGGCCATAGATCGGCGGCCACGTCTCTGGTAAACTTTCCATGATGATCTGATGTCCCCATCAATTGCTCTCTCTGAAGTTATCTGATTCATTGAGTTACCTGCTCCACCTTTTGATCTTATCATGCTACCCTTTCCACCAAAATAAGGGGTGTTTGTAGTTCTCATCGGTGTGGTAGCTGAGGTGGCAGCCATGGTCATAATTGCAACTCTTTCTAATATTTTTAGCATTTTCAAATGACAGCTCTTTTTGGATCATTGGTTGGAAAAGATTGGCTATTTATTTCTCAACTTGTTTCACACACTGGAGAAATTATTAGGTGCAGACTATGTATATAGCTCTATGTGTGGAAGGCGAGAGGACGCAATTATAAACACGTTGTGTTCACCTGATTGAAATAGACAATTGTGTAGTTCACCTGATTTGGGTATGCAACAATACTTAATTGTGTATTTCAATCAAGTAGACTACATAGTGAGTACAGAACTGAGTACTCTTGCATTCTGCATGTAAAGTTATGTACATAGTCCAAACCTAATAATTTCTATAAATACACAAAAAATACTTGATACGTCATCAAAAAATTATCTTGAACGGGCACGAATCTCAATGCAAAATCAAATTGGAAACTTCAAAAATTAATTCGGAGACTATTCGAACTCCGATTTCAGCAAACTTACAATTGAACTGAGCGTCTCGGAAATACGAACCTAACGACACCAAATTCGACTCAATCCGAGCCCAAATGTGTCCAAATCAAGGACCCGAAGCACTGTTGGAAGGTTCAAACCACAATTTGAGTTACCAAACGATTTCCAAACTTGACAAGTTTATACTTGAATCGAGCGGCTCAACGAGACGAATCCAACAAGCCCAAGATTGCCAAATTCCGACATCATTAAGGTCTTCAAATGTTTAAAGAACGGTGTATGATCAAGGGATTCAACATCGGCCGTTCATCCGACCACTCCCCATTTACCCTTGATCTCTCACCTATTTACGGGTCATGCCACTCCAGATATCTATAAATAGAACTCCCTCTCCTCTTGAGAGAAAAGGCTAAGTCTAAGGAAAAGAGAGAGAGATCGGAGATCGCTCTTGCTTTCTAGCCTTCTCGACCACCGCCGGACTTTCGCCGGACCACCACTTGAGGCCCTCACCTCCGCCGGACCACCGCCTGACGCCATTGCTCCGCCGGACCACCACGTGAGACCCTCACCTCTACCGGACCACCGCCTGACGCCGTTGCTCCGCCGGACCACCACTTGAGGCCCTCACCTCTGTCGGACCACCGCTTGACGCCATTGCTCCGCCGGACCATCACGTGAGGCCCTCACCTCCGTCGGACCACCGTTGCTCCGCCGGACCACCGTTGCTCCGTCGGACCACCGTTGCTCCGCCGGACCACCACTTGAGGCCTTCACCTCCGCCGGACCATCGTCTGACGTCGTTGCTCTGCTGGATCACCACCTTAGGCCCGGACTTCTGCCGGACCACCACTTGAGGCCCGAACTCCGCCAGACCACCATCTGACATCAAACTTCTACCGAAGTATCACCCTCCTACTACGGTCTTTCAGACCCCGGTCTCCTGCCAACAATGATCTTTCAGACCCTGGTCTCCTACCAACTACGGTCCTCCAGACCTCCGTCGCCTATTACGGTCACTCCGACCTCCATCACAATACAATGGTCTTTCTGACCCCAGTCTCCTGCCGACTACGGTCCTCCCGACCTCTATTTCCTACTACGGTCACTTCAACCTCCATCACAAGAAAACGGTCTTTGTGACCCCAGTCTCCTGCCGACTACGGTCCTCCCGACCTCCGTCGCCTACTACGGTCACTACGACCTCCATCACCAAACAACAGTCTTTCAGACCCTGATCTCCTGCTGACTACGGCCCTCCCGACCTCCGTTGCCTACTACGATTACTCCGACCTCCATCACAAGACAACGGTCTTTCTGACCCCAGTCTCCTGCCGACTACGGTCCTCCCGACCTCTGTCGCCTACTACGGTCACTCCGACCTCCATCACAAGACAACGGTCTTTCTGACCCCAGTCTCCTGCTGACTACGGTCCTTCTGACCTCTGTCTCTTGCCGATAATGGCCCTTCCAACCAAACAAATATGTCTATGTTTATTATTGTAACTCCCACCATGTAATTTGCTCTATATGACGCACATTTGTAACATCATGCCAAGGTCTTCTCCCTAAGAAGGGATTCATTTGTAATCGACTGCAAATACTAGTGGATTCATTCAAACTGGGCCAGGCCCCGT